TGGGTGTCTTTCTTCTTTGATCTACATATTCTTGTATGTACCTTCCCAGCAGGCCTATGGTTCTGCATCAAAAATATCAACGATGAAAGAGTATTCGGTAAGAGGGATTTTTAATGAATACTTTGATTTGGGACATTATTTCTCATTTTTAGATTATTACTTCAAAGGTTTTTTTTCTTAACTGTATATATATATTCGAGATAAGCCCCTCCATTTTGTATAAGCATTTAATCAAGAAAAATTAATTGAATTTTCTTTATATATATTCTAGTTACTGTTTTAATTTGAAGCTAGTATATAAATTTTACATTCAACTCATGGTTTCTAAGAGGTTTAATGTAATCAGTATAGTCTGTGGTTGAAAATTGAAAACTATGTTTGTTGACAGCATAATTTTGACTTCATTTTCCAAGTTAAGATGTAATTAGGAAAAGATTTTCAGGGGCATCTTTTGTCCTAGTTGCTGAGCAAAGTATGTTTTATAATGAAATAAGGATTACCTCTGAATAAACACTGTCCATAAATACATTTGCATGTGTTCCCAACTAGCAAGACCGAAAATACAAATATTTAAAAGCCGAGTGTTTACATGATTTTATTTCTGTAACATTCAAGAATAAGGAAAACTAAAGTAGACCTTTATAAGTCCAAATAGTGATTACCTTTTTTTATAGGGGAAGGGGCAGTTATTGACCGACAAGAGTCATGAAAAGGGACACAAGTGTACTATATCTCGATCAGGGGTGGTAATTACATAGGGGCATGTATAATAAATTAATTGAACTGTACACAACAATATGGTATAATTATGTTTTAGTTAGGAAAAAATTTTAAGGTTCAGATGATAGAAGAATTCTAATGACTTACGGCTTTGTAAAGTTTATAGCCTTCAATCAGAAATGTTAGAGCCTTTTTCTGTAGTTATTAGTACATTATCTAGCAGGCTGTGATTAATGGAAATTTGTTTCAAATTTTTGAAAAAGATTTTTGACAGTAACTTTAAAGGTTAATAACAATGTTACTCTCATCCTGTTTTTCCTTTAAAGTAGGGTTTACACTAAATATTGGCACTGGCTTAATAATTGAATGCATAAATATATTTTCATGTGTCGCCTGTGGATTTTATAATATATAATACCATTGACAAATAGTTAAGTGTAATTTCCCATAACTAAAATTAAATTTGAGTCATATTTCCCTATTATTGGTACGTAATTTTTATTTAGTCAACACTATAATTTCTAAATATGAGTATTAATCGGTCCATATTAATAATTTAGAAACAACTAGATCTTTTGTGAGACATTTGTGTACTTTTAGATTTGTTTTATACTGTGATATTCAATATCTAGTTGTTTCCTTCAGTTTTCCCTGGAGCATTATAAGAGAACTTGTCTTTGCAGTTGCTCTGTATGCAATCAGTGCTGTCTACTTTGCTGGAGTGATGGTGCGGCTGATGTTGACTTTGACTCCAGTCGTCTGTATGCTGTCTGCAATTGCCTTCTCAAATGTTTTTGAGCACTATTTGGGGGATGACATGAAAAGGGAAAATCCACCTGTGGAGGACAGCAGT